AGCTTCGCACGTTTGTGAGGTGTCAGATATTAGGGCAATATCGTCAGCATACTCCAAGTCAAGAAGTCGTTCTCCTGGGAGCAGATCCACACATTCTAAGGCGTGTCCTGTGAATGCGATCTCCATGACTTCGTCAATAGCTAAGTTGAAGAGGAAATGTGACATCGGGCATCCTTGTCTCACGCCGCTGAAGATATTAAAGGGCGACGACAGCTTGCCGTAAGCCCTCACTCTGCTTGAGCTATGCGCGTGAAGCGCTCGCATAATATTTACATATTTCTCGGGCACACCTTCCCTGAATAGAAAGTGCACGTCTATCCACCGAATCGATTGCACCTTTTATATCGAGGAACACGACAACGGTGGGTCGCCAATATGTGTGACGGTGCTCCAACAACTGACGCAAAGTGAAGATGTGGTCAATGCAGCCACGACCTCGACGAAACCCGGCTTGCTCCTCACGAACCTGGCTTTCACGAGTGCCAGTCAGTCTGTGAAGGACGACAGAGGCAAGCAATTTGGAGGCGATGGAGATCAGACCGATTCCTCTATGGTTGCCGCATTCCGATCACGAAGCTCCCTTGGGAAAATTGGGCTCCAGTCGGTTGGGACAGTTTTCTGCTCCCATCGTTTCACAAGTTTTTCCTGTAAATCCTCAATAAGTGCAGGTCCCCGAATTTGAAGATGGCTGGATGAAGATCATCTGTCCCCGCGATTTTGTTTAACTTCAACAGTCCGATCTCACGTTCGACTTCTGAGCGAGAGGGCGGATCCAAATGGACAGCCCACGGAGCAGGGCGAGCACTAACCGGTGAAGAACCGAATAGTTCCGGCCGATTAAATTGCTGTTCAATTGTTCAAACCAATGCTCCAAACGTGTTGACAAATTGTGGATAGGCTGTCCACTCTCTACAAGTATAGTTTCACTAACACTAGGTCTCCTGCCGCCCGTTTCCCGTATCAGACAGAATAATTTACCATGGTTACCAAGGGCAGCGGTTATTTTCACTTCTGACGCACGATGAGCACCAGGATTCGCAGTCTCTCTTCAGGCTAGCATGAAGTTTTGCCCGGAGTTTCCTACGAGTGTCATTGTGTTCGCTTCCAGCCGGAATGTGCCGGAGAGCATCGAGAAGTTCCAGAGATTGCGAAGAGTCCCAAAATCCATGTTGGCAATTAGACTTGCCATATGAGGATTTGCCTGCTGCTAGTAAGGCCTGGTGAATATGAGACCAGTGAGCTTCAGTTGCATCCAGTGAGCGTTTATTCAACTCGGATGACAGCGTAATTTGACAGACATTCAGAACAGCAGGCTTCGTCATTTGGCTGGCGTTAACGCTCTCACAGCGTCCTCGTGGGTGTCCGCAGAAACGCATACATGCACATACAAGTGCATGGTCGGTGTCCACACATGTGCACCAAATCGATCGATAGTTCTCGACGCGGCCTCCCCAGCGGTAACTTCTCGCCGTGTGATGGATTTGCGCCCTTATCTGGCTCGAGGCTGGTGGGCGCCAAGTCACCCTCCGGCGAGTGCTGTGTCGCAAGAAATAAGCGCGCGTCTTCACACAAATCAAGTAACGGGAGCCTACATAATGGTGGCCGCCCAAATATATTCCTCAGTTGATAATTTTCCAACTTGAGCGTTCAGATCCCCGGCCAGCACTACAATGTCCGAGCTTTTTCTATGGCGAAAGAGCTCGTTTAATTGACGGTAGAAGTCGTCCTTCGCCGAATCATCGCTATAGTTTGTGGGTGCATAGGCAGCGATAACCAATAGACACCTGTTAGTCCCACGTCGACTTCGAAGTTTCGAACGAGCCAGCCAATCGGACAGCACCCATCCGGTTAGTGATTGGCATCCAACCAACCAGAGCAGCTTCAGCCCGGGGACTCAGGGTAATACCAACACTTGTTTGACCGGTGCTGTAAGCTGCATCATCACCGGATAGACGCATTGAGAAACTACTGCTGGCGTCACTTAAAGGGGATGGCAAAGTGAACACAGAACTCGAGTCTTGCAGCCGGGTCTCCGATAAGCAGCAGATATCGATGGAAAGGGTCCCTAAATTTCGGGCAAGGGCTGCCTGTTGACCGATCTGAAGCAATGTGTGAACATTGAGGCATGCCAGTCTGAAGGAGGATCGAGAGCTCCAAAAGGAAGCTGACGATCTGGGCTTCACCGCTTACTTGGACATGGGCCTGTTGACAGGACAGGAATGACGCTCCGCGTTCATATGTGAGTTGAAACTAGAAGGTAATCGCCTATCAGAGCAAATTGGAGGAGGGCCAACAATTGGGGGTTGAAAATAGGAGGGGTAAAAGTGAAGCTTGAACGGGACGATAAGGGTGAGAAAGCGTAAGAAGGAGGATACGAAGTTGGGAAGACTTGAGCAGTAGCATCCAAACCCCGACGAACTCTTCATGAAACAACTAGAGTTGTTAGGCCGTACAAAGAGCTAGTTCATGCAACATCACTCATGCAAGATGATGATTCGTTTAATAATATAATATCTTGACTCCAGTACCATGTGGTGAAATGATTCCAAGACGAATACTCTAGAAACGCAGGCAAATGGCGGACGGTGTAAAGATCAACTCACCCGATAAATCGCATACCCAATCGTATGATATGCTTTCAGTTGTTCCCTTCGCCCTTTTTGCATGAGACCCACAATGATGGTGCCCATATTATCTCCGTCTGTCTCATCAGGATCCGTCACCTGGACACGGAACTGAGGGTTCATGTGAAACGTGCCTGAAATGTATGCATGAACCTCTTGATGACGGTCACATGGTAGTGTCAAAGAATTGGTAGATTATGGAAGATGCTGTCCAGCTAACTATTCGCTGACATAAGCGGACGCCAACCCTTAGTCATCTTTTGTTCGATCTGCTAAGGTGGACACTGTCAACCTATACAGCTTGTGGTCACTGCATAAAAGCTCGTCTGGTGTTCTATTTCCCGAGGTATCATGCCGAAGTAGCTGTGGAACACTCTATGGGCACCGCAGGAAATGGCGGATACTCACGCGGCATGTTAATAGCAAGTGACAGGCTTCGGTCTCAGAGTTGAGGTGGAAAACTTGATATAAAACATTGTAGAGCTACTGCTTCTACTTTTCTGAGATCAACAGTCCATAAGCAGACAGCAATTTTAAGTGCTCCGCGATACCCAATAATGTATTTTGCGAACGCAGGCAACTGTTGGGTAAACTTGAAGATTCCATTCAGAACTGTCTCGTATATCGCAAATCGGGGTAACCACCTATTACGGCAATCCCACCGCACAATTAGATCGAGAAACCCGTCGGCATATCTTGTGGGTATTTAAATACAACAATTTCTTATTTAATATCATTGTTGTAATTATGTTTCTACATCCTCATCCTCTATTTTCTTTTTTACTCCATTTTGGCCGCTACTGGGTCAATCTCCTGAGGTGCCGGATTTTCGCTACCAAACTAATAGATGAACCCATGCGAGACAAGATGTCATAGATTCCCTGACGCGTAATGAAAGTGCTTGACTCATAAAAAGGAGTTGATGGTACAGGATATATGTCCTAAATTTAAATATATATATATATCAGTTAAAAAGGGCCATTAAGATAAGTACAATTGATGATGGTAAACCTGCTTAAGCCCACGTCAGCACACGGTCAGAACGGACATGGAAGTGTGGGTGAAACCTTTCAAGGGACTAGCCTGCATGGAAATAGGTTTGCTGGAGACGAATCCACGGTTGACCGTATTCCTTTACTAGAACATTTAGATTTATCTGCACTTATTAATATAATTGTCGACCAATCCATCTATTTGAAAGATGCAACCTATCAATCAGCCCGCGTAATAATTTGGGAACTGCTCTGATAAAAACTCGAGGAAATATTATCCCTCCCATGTGATCCAGTTACACATAATGGTCAGACCAATCAGTAGGACTGTGCTTAGCACCGTTGAGGAATATATCCTTTATTTATTTAGTTATTAATAGGTCAGACCATCTAACTTAGGTACATAGTTCCAGTAGGCCTCTGTTACCCTATCTCGCTATCTGTGTGAGGCACGTTGTTCACTCATGGCGGAAACAATTTTCGGCCTAACTGTTTGCTGTTGAATTGCTATTCTATCTGTGCACACTCCCTTTTTAAAAGTATGATCAAAGACAAATATTATGTTTTGATCCACACTTTCCATGTGCACGTCGTTTCCTTGCTAGGCCCGAAGGACTTGGTGCATACAGCAGACAAGAAAATGATCTACATCGAGTTACCTTTAACCTCTGCTACGCAGTGAAGTTACGGTGATGCTCAGGTTGTGGTCATCAATCGAACTCTTAACTTGCCGGTGCCTCTAACGAAGGAAGCTCAACCGATCGGGGCAAACTCACACTGCATATACCGATTCGTGTGAAACTGCGGAGCCAGTTGCATAAGCAGAAGTAATCGGTCTTTGACTTCTCGAATAAACGAACACGTGCCAAGGTGGGTTCGAGGTGAAATCGAACATCCCTGGCACAGGGAACTTCCGTGCTTGCATAGGCCGCCAGCTCCCACAACAGGTAAACACCTACTGATCAGGCGTCACCGGATAAAGCTTGGATCAGTGTTCACACCTGTGTTACGTCACCCTAATCCCGGCTTCCTCCGTTCCGCCAAGGCCGTCGTGATAAACCGGATGAAGCCGGCGCTGTGTGTTCAAAAGCAATTATTTGTCAGCTTAAGACTGCCGTGAACATAGGTGTGGAACTTCCGTCATCCATTTGGAACCTAACGCTTATTTGGACACACCCATAGTTAAGTATATAGTTGTATACCGGTTGTTGTTAATGGTACTGAGAAGATAATACGAATTGCATGTATCTATCAGCTTTCGCCTTCTTACCGTGTTTTTCTAATTTCGAATGGGAATTAACTGCTTTAAACACTAATAATGTCACTTCTGTTGGCCCTCTGGATCAGGAGCAAAAGTGAACCAGATAAACGCTGCGGACCAAATGCAGCTGCTTGGGAACTCTCAAACAACAGCCCAATTGCCAACGTTTGGACAAAGTTCGTTGATAGACTCAGCGACATCGTCAACAGAGCATCAGAGACCAAGCCCCTTCGTCCCGCAAAAAATGCCTTCAATTCTAAGGAGCAGGTCTCGAAAATGCATGGCGATAGGAGCTGCAGTGTGGCTTGCCTACAAGGTTAACCCCGATTCAGAGACTAGGAGCAATTGCCTGATCCATCGTCACTATTGCACTGCACTTGTTCGTGAGGACGAAGTAACTTATCATCTGTGCCTAGCCAAAAATTCCTGGCAAACAACAAACTGCTCTATAAGCATGTCAACAATCTTCGCAAAGGGAAGCATAGCATCCATCCACTTTTCCCAATAGGTGGTAGAGTACAAGGCGCCGAAGAAACAGCTAATGTCCTGCGGGTACAATCCGCCCCAATGTTCGAACTAGTAACCTCTACCTGTCCCATATGGTCATGCACATTACCGACTCCAATGTTTACACATGTAATTTTCAACCCATCAGTTGTGTTAAGCAATTACTCTTACCGCGCGATCATAGCTCTCCGGGAGTCAACAACATCCGCCCAAAAGCACTAAATTCTACGGCCACCAAGCTAGCTGAACCACTGTCACAGTTCTTCCAAAGGTGAACACTAAGCCCCCACTAGTGGCCGCGTAATATTATCACCCCAATTTTAAGATCAGTAGCCATTAGGAGCCTGCAAAGTATCGTTCAATGACTCCCCCTTCCTGTGCTCGCGAAGGTGATGGAAGCGGTCATCGCTGAGGCTCTAATGGACTAGCTGGAAAAATGCAACATCTTGGCACCGGAGCAGCATGGCTTCCGTCAACACCGGTCATGCACCACCAACCTGCTGATTGCACGAGGCAGTTGGACGGAAGTGGCTGATGATGGGGTCAGAGTTGACGTTGTCTATCTGGACTTCTCTAAAGCTTTCGATCGCCTGGAGCACCGCATCCTACTTCACAGACTACAGTGCTAGGGAATCGGTGATCCTGTTCTTGGTTGGGTTCGCAACTTTCATCACCAACGGAAGTTTCAAGTGTGAGGTAATCACTCTCTAACCCGATTGAAATGGAATGTTGTGTCCCACAGGGCTCGGTGATGGGACTACCCTTCTTCCTGCTGGTTATCAACAACCTGGCAAGAGTTCTCTCTTCAATTTTCCTGCTTTTCGCAAATGAAATCAAGATATAGCGGGCAATTAGTCACAATGAAACCACGATATACTCTAACGTGATCTAGATTGCGTTTATGAATGGTCAACCAGGAAGCTGCTTCAGTTGAACATTGCTAAGTGCAAGGTGATCCATCTGCGTCACCAGCCGGTGAGCGTTTACAAGCTTGGAGACCACACTGCATGATTTGAGTGTATTGGTACAGGAAGACCTCAGGTGTTCAAAACAAGCAGAGAAGGCGTCGAGAACTGGCAATCGATACGCCGGCCTTCTTCGCAGTGTGTTCGATCGGTAGAAACCCTCAATCTTTCCCCAAATGCTTAACGCCTACGTGTGACCGCACGTGGAATATGCTATCCAGGAGTGGCAGCCGTGGCAGAAACAGGATCGCGATGCTCTCGAGACTCCTCAACAAAGACGAACCAAGAACGTCAGGAGGCTCTTTCATCTGCCCTATCAGTTAGACTGAAACGTCTAAGAATGTACAGCAGTCGATATCGGCGTTTCTGAGGGATCTTATAATGTTTTACCAGATCCTGAAGAACCCAAACCGTATTTGCTGTTCGATGCTGGAATTGTCCCACAACACTAACCTAAGAGGTCAGCTTCTGAAACAGACTATACAGTATAGCCAGCCTGAATGCCGTAGTAAGTTCTTTTCCTTTCGTGTGTGCCAGCCTTGGAACGCCCTTCCTAACTGTGTCTCCTCTGCTCCTATTCTGGCGATATTTAAAAAGAGTTGACGACACGTCGTCTCATTTGCATTTTATTGTATGACTTGTTAGCCAGGGGCTACAAATGCAATCAAACGGTGTCTTACCAAACAATGTCTTACCAATCAATGATTTATACTTTTGATACGCAAACATCTCCGCTATTCTACATAAGACTATGGTGTGTCCACCAAAACGCTGCTTATTTTCGCGTGCAATTTTATTTTCGCAATAATTTCCATCTCACAGGACTTGTTAAGCATTGATTTTTCCCCTTAAAACATCATTGTCCCATTCTCCTAGTGAACTCAGAGAAACACCACGTAAGATTTTCGTTGCTTCTCTCCCCCGACACTGCACGCCGTGCTCCGGTACGTACTTATTGTAATCTTAGGTAAAAGCTTTTGAATTGTAAAGTAATTCTCTTCCTTTTTGATCAAAGGATTAAGGGGAATGCTAGACGGTTTTTAATACAATAGGGAGTTTATGATGGGTTATTTGAATGACTAATGCTACTCAAGCGGCAAACCGATGAAGGACGGTTTCCTCACTTGAAACCGTCAAACTTTGAGTCTGTTCTGCTATAGATAGAGGCCTGCAGTATCAAATTGAGTCAGTTTTTAAAAAGTGATAGCATCGGGTTCAATTTAGTGAGCATTTCCATGAAACTTAGCGCTACCTCCGCTGAGGAAGTGGGTGATGGTTAAGTTGAAGAAATACGCCATCATTCATCAGTGATTAGAAGGAAGCATCCATACAAGGCGCCCCGCTTGACTTTGCAAGCGCCAGCTGCTCGCGTGCGCCATCTGCGTTCAGTGTCTTAACGAACCCACTCG